CAATTTCGTTCAGTTCGCGCATACCACCTGTGACGTCACTAGGAAAATGAGGAATAAATAAAAAATAAAGAAAGTTGACAGGAGATCTGCATTTTTTGGGGTTATGGTTAAGAATTGTTTATTTTTAAGACTTTTTAGTTCGTTTAATGTTTAATTTAATAATTACTAAAACCAGCAGTTTCAAAAATATATATTTAAAAATAATAATTATCTATTAATATGGATTTGGACTTTGGACCATAATAGGTAAGAATACTAAATTTATTTCTATATTCGGTACCTATAAAATTGTTTATTAGGTTTTCAGTTTGCGATTCATGTTCATTGCCTCTGATTTCACATGAGGACAGAGCTGAGGATATATATGGAAAAGTAACCACAAGAGGAATTGTTACATCATTTAAAAAATGTTGGGAATTTTATTGTTTCCCATTGAAAAGTAGAAAATGCCAATGCAGATGAATGTATTGTAATTGTGATAGAAGCAATTCCAAGGGTGAAGTTTATTATAATTAGTGGAAGTAATTCCAAGGGTGAAGTTTATTATAATTAGTGACCTGTGCTTCTTTATATATATGTAGATGTTTCAGGTTTTGAGAATAAATCGGTTGAACGAAACCCAAAATTTAGAGGAAGTATTTGCATACCCAGAATATGCCCATCAAGGATTATATAGCTCAAATTTCCTTTAATGGTGAGCAATTATTCAATGCAAATTAACTTTTAAGTGACTGAAATATTAAATAGTTTACAATATGGTATATCATTAAAAAAATATATTACTTTTAGGTACAATTAGGGGCCCGATACATTTCAAAAAGTAGAATATTATTTTTATATTAAATGAGGTATTGTACCAACAATTAATTTATATTAATACCGGAGATTAAAAAATAACAGAATAAATAGTTCTTTTTTTATACTACAAAAATAAACTATAGAATACAACAGTACTTAAAAAATAAATAAAAAGTTATGTCCCGGCCGAGATTCGAACTCCGGTCTCTCGCTTCCTAGCCCGACTCCTTACGCACTGCTCCACAGTAACTTGCTTAGCGATAATTCAATGACGGTATATAAACAAAAAAACAGGTTTATAACAATATCTTGACGATTTGAACTGGCGCGCGGAGCGTGCTGACCAATAGCGCCTGTTATCACCTGTGACGTAGCGACCAACCTGCGTTAAAGCAACATGCTTTAGCCTAGTTAATTTGCATTGAGGCATCACATAAAAGTAGTTTTAGTCAAATACGTTTTCGACTAAAACTATTTTTCCTTATTTCTGTTTGCGTCCAGCCTAAGTTAGTTTTAAGTGACATATATAATCGAAAAGCATTCAGGCTGTTAAGTGCTCGCAAAATTTTCCACCTGTACCTTAATAATCAAACTTTTCACTGAGCCGCGATCTCAAGTAAGAAATTTTCCGGAAAAGTTAGGAAGTTTAATATTTAAATTTTGACGGTCGATTTTTACGTAGTTTGGAACGGAGTGAACTTTAATTTTGCCGGAAAAACTTTTCGTTTGTTTTGCTTTGCTTCACCGTAAAGCGTAAATTAATATTTGGCTTGGAGAGATACTTGATATTTTCTTAAGAATCGATCGATACCAGGATACCAGGCGTAAAGGAGTAACCAACTAATTATTTACGTAATTTTAAAAAATTATGAATAAAGGTTTATATTTTACAAAACAAATATATGAAACTATTAAAATAGCTCATTAAAAATAAGCAAATTTACATTTTTTTAGAGACTTCAAGACAGGGTGTCAAAAAAAAACAGTGATGCCAAAGTGAATGGCGATGATTTAAAATTCTGTAACAGCTCTGCAAAGGTAGTTTTCATTAGGGTAGAGAGTGCTTACTGGTGGTACTTATTTTATCCTTATAGATACAGCAATTTATTACAGAAAACCGACCAGAATTCCAATCTGCAGAAGAGGAAGACAACCTTGCGGGCACTTTAACGATCAGCGAAAGAGAAGTACATCTAAGTGTCAAAAAAATGAAAAATGGACGGTCACCAGGTCCTGGTAACATTGCAGTAGAAGTGTGGGACCGAGAAATTGCGCTGGCGCCTGGCAGAGCTGTTCAACCAGTGCTGTCTGCAAAATAAACTACCCCAAGAATGGAGAGTGGCTCATATAGTGTCTATCTTTAAAAAGGGAAATCGCAACGACCCCGGTTGTTATAGAGGCCTGAGCATTAACAGTTCAGCGAGCAGGCTTTTGGAAAAGTTCTGCAGGGTAAGCTCAGGGATAATATTGGTGACAAAATCTCGGAAGATCAAAACAGATTCACACCGGGGAAATATTGGTCAGATAACCTCTTTGTCCTGGCAGGTGATGGAAAAAAAGATAGCAGTAGATCAAGAAGTCGTCTAGAGTTTATTGATTTGGAGGGAGCATACGACTCTATTCCTCGCAACAAGATATGGGAAGCTTTGAATATTTTAGAAGTAGGTAGACCCCTGGTTAAGATAATAGAAGAGCTCTATAAAGAAAATAAAGCGTACGTTAAGATAGGACACAGGCTATCCAATCCAATAAATACCACAAAAGGGTTGCGACAAGGATGCAGCTTATCACCTCTAATCTTTAATGCTTACGTTGAAGTAGCCCTTAGGGAATGGAAGAGCAGATGCCAAGGCATGGGAATACCCATTGGGGAAGATACACTGTTTACTCTGAGCTTTGCAGACGATCAGGTCGTGATTGCGCAGGACTCTTTCGATCTGGAGTTCATAACTAAGAGGCTTTACTAAGAATATAACAAATGGGGACTTCAGGTTAGTCTAAAAAAGACAGAATACTTAGCTGTCAATTCCAACGCTTGCTTTGAAGTCTTCATAGATGATAATGTCCAGATTCAACAAGTAGGCAAATTTAAATACCTGGGTGCTACTCAATCTCATCAACAACGAGGGTTTGGGCAAAGAAGAAATACAAACCCGAATTCAGAAGAGCAAACAAGTTATTGGTTGTCTTAATAGCCTCTGGTGGGACCGAAATTTGTCTGCAACAATTAAAAAGAGACTTGGACGAACATTGGTGGAGTCAGTTCTTTGCTATGGTTCAGAGCTATGGACTTTGAGTGCAGATACGAAGCGCAAAATCCAAGTTGTTGAAATGGACAATCTTAGAAGGAGCGCAGGTATGTGTAGGATGAAAAAAAAAGACAAACATCGAGGTCAGGCGTATCATGAATGCATCGGAGGAGACAGTGCTAGATCGAATTGAAAAATCCAGCTTAAAGTGGTTTGGACATGTTCTACGTATGCCGGAGAACAGGTGGCCAAGAAAGTTTTTCAATGGACTCCCCAGGGTAGAAGAAAGAGAGGCAGACCTAGAAAATCCTGGAACGGAACGGTTAAGAAAGCAATGGCTTGTTTCATTTCTTTTGACTTATACTATATATTTTTAAAAGTCAGCTTAAAGCAGTTATTTGCTTATGATGTTTAGATGATTGCCTGAGAACTTTTTCAAGCCTTTTTGATGACGCACTAAATCGAGACGTGTGGCGTAGAGGTAGACAGGAAGGTCAGCAAACGTCGTGTGGTTAAAATATCAAATACATATACAAAATCCGTTTATATATATATATATATATATATATATATATATATATATATATATATATATATATAATATATATATATATATATATATATATATATATATATATATATATATATATATATATATATATATATATATATAGATACAGAAATTTCAACAAATTGAAATTAAAGCTAGAACTTTTTTTGCATAAAAAAGGTGCTATTCGTTTAGTTCAAACTGTGAACCGTTTCAAGATATCTTCGTTTAAAGGTCCGATTCATCGATTTTAGTATTAGCGAAATCAGGAGACTAATTTACTTAAAACTAGCGTGTCCCGCGACTTCGTTCGCGTCGAATTAATCATTTGTAACGGTGATGATAAAGCAAAGCAAGAATTTCCATTAACATACAAACTGGATAAAATTTTCTCACATTTATGTCAGCATGAGAAAAAACAATATGGCGATCTTAATATATAACTTGGTAATATTTGAGGGGTAGTTTCATCTCGTTGGAATTTAACTTTCGAAAAATCCGTTTGCCAAAAATAAGTTTTTTACGTCAAGCAGTTTAAGCAGAATCGTGATTAATCAATTACCCAACTTTTTGGAACACCCTGTATGATTTTTTAAAAATTTCAAAATATGTAAAAAACAAAATAAATTATGCGTCTCCAAGCGTTTTCCCGAAAGACTAACCGTTTTTTAAATAACAAATATTGTAATTTTTGTGGGGCGTTTTCACCCTCTTGGAATTTGAGATTCGAGAAACCCCCCCTTATCGAACCTCTACACACCACAGTCAATCCGTTTGCCAAAAATCAGCTTTAAACGTCAAGCAGTTTAAGCAGAATCTGATTACTCAGTGGTCATATTTTATGAAATACCCTGTATAAATTTTTTAAAAATCATAAAATACGTAAAACAACAAAATAAAATATACGTGTTTAAGAGTTTTTCCGAAAAACTCACCGGTTTTTAAATAAAAAAATATTCTAATATTTGAGGGGTGGTTTCACCCCCTTAGAATTCGAGTTTCGAAAAATCCCTTCCTATCGAACCACTACACCCTAAAGTCAATCCGTTTTCCAAAAATCAGCTTTTTACGTTAAGCGCTTTAAGCAGGATCATGATTAATCAATGACGAGATATTTCGAAACACTCCGTATATTTGGAAGGTCATAAGCTTTTAAAAAATAAAATAAACAATCGATGTCTGTAAGAAATTAAAAAATATAATTAATGATAGTATTACAGAAATGAAAAATCAACTTGTAGAATAGAAAAGCAGTAATACGATCGTGAAATTTGTATTGTCATGCACCGTATGATCGAATAAACAAACAAAGAATAAAGAAAAGTACTGGTTTGGTTTGGTTTAGGGTACGCCAATTATCATAGATTGTCATTTCCCAGCTGTCATTTTTTTTTCGTACTTACTGACATTTCTGATGCAGGATGATCAATAAAAACCATTTCTGATTCTTGTCCATCTAACAGTACTGAAACTGTTCGTTCACCAAATTCGTCATCTGTATAAAAACAAAAATTATACAGGGTTGTTCACCACATACGACACGGAGTATTGTAGCTAAACGATTAGATTTTTACAAATTGTAAGTTTTGGGTTCGTTGAAGGATTATTAGAGCTACAATTTAAAAATATTTTTACAAGATACAAAGTGTCCCAAATAAATAAAAAATATCAGAGTTGTATTTTTTTAAATGGAACAACCTGTATATTATTGCATTTTTAGTTTCTACGATTAAAATAAGGTAGTCAATTTTTTATTATTGCAACACAAAAACTGATCAATAAATAAACTTCAGTAAATATTTAGTATTCAAAACTTTGATACCTTCGGAGAAATGAAGCCTTAAAATTTATACTGCAATTTCACAAAATTGAATATATTTCAAAAACGGTAAGGTTTAAGTGTAATAAACCTTAATCAAATTTACCTTTATTTTAATCGTAGAAACTACAAATGTGATAATATACAGGGTGTTCCATTTAAAAAAATACAACTTTAATATTTTTTATTTATTTGGGACACTCTGTATCTTGTAAAAATATTTTTAAATTGTAGCTCTAATAGTCCTTCAACGAACCCAAAACTTACAATTTGTAAAAATCTAATGGTTTAGCTACAATATTCCGTGTCGTATGTGGTGAACAACCCTGTATAGGGTGAGTCTTAAATAAGTAAATATTGTCAGGGAGTGTCTATTTTAGCAAAAATTACTTACCTAAGCTAGCGTCGTAAGTGTTCATATATTCAGACGTCATAAATTGGGACACCAGTGCAGTTTTACCCACACCTGATTCTCCCAGCAGGACTACTCGGTATTTTGGTATTTCGTTCTCATTGGTGGAATCCAATGAAGAGGAACCCACGCTATGGTACCCTGAACCGCAACATGATCCATCAAAAGGAGATCTTTCACCAGAAACGTTAGATCTAAAATGAAATTATTGTAGTACCCAGTTAAAAAATGTTCATATTTTGTGTGCCGATTTTGATGATTTTTTTAAGGAATGCGTAGCTAACTTATTTGACTTTTAAACCACTTTTTAAATTAAAAATTAAAAAGAAGTCCTCATCGGTCTATTACTATACGAGAAAAAGAGTGTCGCTAACTGGACGAAAGTTTAAAACATACTGTGGAAGGGATTAACAAAGTAAAAAAATTAAAAACTACTTTATCGTCAAGGTGCATCTTTAATTCATAGTTTGTTTTTTGATTCATCTCAATAACTTTATTTTTATTGGAGATCTTCACTTTTGAAGTAGACAGTAGAGATTTACAGCAATTTTCACAGCTTTTGGTCCTCATCAAAACGCCTAAAATGATATGGTTGTTTTTATAATGTCATTGCTATTTAGAAGTCTTATTATAATTTTTTTGTTGGCAGCTAATCTAGCAGAGATGATTTTAAGTACCTACAGAAGTTGATCTCTTTCATGTTCAGTTAAAGCAACAACCCAAGTAGCATCTATCTGACTTCGAACTAAATCTGACCTGAAGCGACGTCAGACTTTGTGCAAATTTAGGTCGGGTGCTGGTGATGTGACCTGTGATGTCGCTTTCCTGTTAAAAGCGACGTCGTTGGATCCGAGTCGGTAAATCCAACGATCTGTCGACGTACAAAATAACAACGTACCATTTTTATTAATTTCCCAACGTCGTTCCCACGTTGGCTTGCACGACGTACATATACTTAAACTAGCCCGACGTCTACCCGTTGTCCGAATAGGATACGTCTTACTGATAATCCCTAAAGTAACGTCCAATTATATTTTGTTGTATTTTATGTTCATATTTATAACCTAACCCAAGTAGCATTTTCACGACTTGCGACCACATGTTTACTAATCACAACGTTGGATTAGTTACAAAAAATAGTTAGCTCCCTACCTTGGGTATTAAAATAAATTTAAACGTTTTTATAACGTTGTGCCGACGTTGGACTAGTACTACAGCAAAGTAGGAAGCTTCTGCGACGTCGAATAAACGTTGTCTTGTAACCTTTTTTGCTTAAGTGATCTTTAGGTGATTTGGACAACGTAGTTACAACGTTGGATAATATAGAGTTTTCCGACGTCAGTTTCAGGACCTATTCCAACGTTATGCAAACGTCGTCTGTTTTACTAATTCCAACGTTGTTTAGATTTCCTTATTCTTACGTTGGTAGGACGTAGAGTCACTACCTTTTTGCAACTGTATTGAACCATAACCTTAAATCTTAAATTTTCAATTCATTGTTCTGTTCAGTCAGACAGTTCAGTGCTGTTTTTGTTTTTATAAAAAAAAAACTTAATTAAAATGGGACATAAGAAAGGTACATATAAAACTAAATTTAAATATACATCGACATATATTACCGACACTTCCTCGTTTATTTAGATTATAGAGGGCGGCACAAGCTAGACTCTAGAATGACTAAATTAGGCAATCTTGCGACTAGTATACTACCTGTTAAGGCCGAACTGCGACTTTATTAGTCCAGTATGCGACTACTCGAACTACTCCATCTTAATCTCCAAAACAACAAAGTTAAAGCCGCCATGTTGTTAAATAAGAAAATGTTTCGTTCTTAAAATAGCAATTCCTGCTTTTTGAATACATTAACTTGAAATATTTGACCCTAAAAAATACGCGGAAACAATTTTTTCGAATGCGAATAAATTATTCTCATTTTACTAAAAAAAAAATTCAAGAAAATTTTTAAAACTTCTTTAATTTCAAGGCCCATTAGTATTTTTTAAAGTAGAAACAATACATTTATCAATAAAGTTGTTTGCGTTTAACTTTTTACCTTGGGTAACGAGTTACAGAGTCGGTTAAAGTGTTTCAATAATTATGATCTTCAAACATCCTCCACACTTAAATACTTTTGTTTTGTTTTCCTTCACTGCCATCTGACATATGTCTCTAACTAAATTATAAATATAATATTTTTACTATAATTATCCCAATTTAGGATAAAACGCGACTTAGACGCCATATTAGTTTTGTATTTCTGTGAATTAGGATTTTAAACAACGTTGCAGTTTGTACTAAATTAGGCTTCTAGCCAACGTCGGTATCCAACGTCGTTTCGACCCAAAAATTATTCTCCAAACTAGTGCAGACTAGGGTTGGCACGAGGTTGTGCCGACGTTGCGCCCCGACGTTTGGTCGCGTGACACAACGTTGTCCCGACGTCCAAATGCTGCTTGGGAATTTACGTATCTCTATTTACGTCGGTAAATACAACCCATTAAGTAGCATTTGCGACCTAATGAACATCATGAACATAACCTAATAAAAAGTTTTTGTAAACAAACTGATTTTTTTTATTATGCCTCAAAAAACACTAAAAAGGCATTTAGACATTCATCTACATTTTACAGAAAGAGGTCGAGGCTTTTGCAAAATAATAATAGTAGTAGTGATGTCTTGCCTCCACCCGTAAATGCTTTTTATCCGGAAGAGACGCTGCATTACACTGATGCATCTTAATTTCATTTTTTAGCTTAGGAAACCAGCAGATCCCATCCTCCTCCAACATGTGAGGTTAGTCTTAAAAAAGTGGCTGCCCATTTTTTTAAGGAGAAAATAAAAACTAAACTATAGTTGCACAAATCCACAAATCACTGATAAACAAAGTGAGGTTACGTGGCGTACGTTGGAATTATATACGTCATAATACGATTGCCGGTCTTCCGGTTTGATGACTTCGGTCGTGTGAGACGACTAATGTTGGAGACCCGGTCGGAATTGGTATATTGGTAGTTCATATTAAGTCGGACTCAGAAATCCGCCATTCTTAACACGTATCCGATTGTCAGCCATTTTAAAATCGTTTTTTGTTTTTAAAATTTATATTAACATTTCGATTTCTAGTAGAATAATATCGATAAGGTTGAGTTTGGGGGGAACCACAGTACAGTTTTATGATTAAACCAGCTAGAAAATAAAAAAAAAATTGTGAGTTACTTTTTTATAGATATTTTTATTTCATAAATCTACCTAATTTTGAAAGCGCTCGTTGTTTTCCGGAGTATTTTAATCAAATATATCAAGAAAGTGACTTCCGTTGACAAAACTGATGTCTGGATTAATGATTCAGAATTACTATAATACGAAATTAGATAGGCACTTATAGTTATATTCGAGGAGTGATTATGAATCCATTTGTAATTAGGTAGTTTGGTTAGGTTTTTATGTATTCTTGGTAGCGAATATGAAACCAAAAATAACGTAAGTGCTTAGCGACGAATTTTAAGTAACTAAAATCCAACGTAATATGACGTTGGTAATTGGTAGAATTACATTCCCTATTAGGTCAGATACCGACGTCGAGGCGACCCGAATCTGTATTCCCCATTTAGGTGCAAATAAGGGTCGTCAGGCGGTCGAACCGACGTTGGTACCCGACGTCGGGTTTATTGAACGCGACGTATACCCGACGTTAGATAACGTCCAAATGCTACTTGGGAAGCCATCTTCTGGACTTTAAAATCCATCTCTACTAGAGTAAGTGCCAACAAGCAGTAATAATAAAACTTTTCAATAACAGTGGCACTACAAAAACAATAAATACTATTTCGGAGATATGTTGATTAGGACCAGAAGCAGAGGCATGTTTTTAATGCTAAAATTGTTATTAATCAGTAATCTGTCTTGTTTAAAATAAAAACTATTGAGATGAACTTTTATAAACGTTACTACACTAGTCTAGAACTTACCGACTGGTAATTGAATTGACACTAGTGTTTGACCTAGATCGCCGATTGATGATGGAATCCCCGCAATTCACTACTCCTTTATTGGTAATGCTGAAAGTCCTCAGTCTATACAGGTCGTCGCTCAATCTGGGATTGACAGTTTTCTCCGGCAGCGAACATACTCTAGGCCTAATGTGATCTGGAACTAACGTGAACAGAAAAATATACAGTATGTCCGTAATATTAATTCCACGCTGTGTTCGACATAATGTAGATCAACCTGCTCTCACTACCGGTTTCGGGGCCCTACCTCATCATCAGGTGAGCTTGGGTCGTTTCCACAAAATCACTACACACTATCTCGCGATGCGGGACTTAATATCTTACCGCTGCTTTACGACAAGTCGTATTTATATACTCTGCGCTGTGCTCAGGCATTTTGTGAAACATTAGCTCACCTGATGATGGGTAGGGGCCCGAAACCGGTAGTGGGGGCAGGTTGATCACGACCCGTCCCGAGCACAGCGTGGAGATGAGCCCTACCTTAGCAGTTCAGAACAGAAAACTCTTATATAATTTTATTATATACCTAAAAACTGCAAGAAATGTATTTTCCATTATATTATTTATTATCTACTGAGTTTTTATACATATATAAATATTTTTCTAAAAATCATTATTATTAAAATTGAAACTAATGGTAATCTTTATTTATTCACCAAAGAGCTTTTTGTTTTCGTTCCCATTTTTTCATTAAAACATTTTATAATGAAACTTTAAAGCCTGTAGTTGGAAACAAAGCGCAATATTTGCCTCCGAATGTGAAACGAACAATAGGTAGTCGTGTGACAAAGCACTGATATTTAACTTTTGATGCCAGCGAATGAGTAATTTATAACTACAGTATGGCGGGCCTTTATTACCCGTTCATTTTAATGAAATACAGTACGCACATGCTAAAACAAACTTAAATTACAGATAATATCACAAGTACATAATTACTACTCTAATATTTTTATATTTATACATATGTATGACGCTTTTATTTATACATACATACCGGGTGTTGCATCGTCGGACGGGATATAGGAAATCCCATGTAAATTTTAATGGGGTCAATTATTGGCTTCCCTAATTATTTTAGAGAATAATTCTATTTAGGTTTATTGAAGAGCACTAAAACCCACATTCAAAAGAATAACTTTAGATATTTTTGATTAGCTCGTTTACGAGTTATCGCCGATTTCTTTTTAAATATTTCTCCTTTCTTATGGCCCTGTATTTACTTATGAGCACCAGTCAAGGTAAAAGATAACTGTCAAATGAAGTTGTCATTTCAGAAATTTACCTATTTAGGGCTTTGTTATTATTGAAAACTCATTCCTACATCGGATAAATCTTAAAGATGTATTTATAAATACAAATTAATATGAATAAAAGTAAAATAAAGTAATCAATTACAAGGTTAATTATAGTATTATTACAATATTCAATAACTTATTAATTTAGGTACTATTAAATTGTTAGAACTTTAGGATTTAAGAAGGTTCAAATATTCCTTCATCGACTGCTAGACAATAACCCAGGCCATCATAACATTCTCTTCTTACATTCGCTAGTTGGTAAACTGAAATTCTATTGCATTCGGAAGAAATAGCATTTTTTAACTCGTCTAGATTTGGGTATTTTTTATCCTTGTATATCCTGTTTTTTAAATGGCCCCAGAGAAAGAAATCATTTGCCGAAATATCAGGAGACCTTGCTAGCCAATTTACTGTATGATTTAGGCCAATAGCGTTTCCGTTAAAACTATTGTCTAAATATTCCCGAACAGCCGGGGTACTATGTGCCGAGCAGCCATCCATTTGGTACCAAATTTCCTGATTTTCCCTAGCGGTATCATGTAAAGTAGATTAAATATGATTTTCGAGTAGTTCCAATAATATTCTGCATTTAAATTTCGCGTAAGAAATAATGGCCCGATAATACTGTGTCCGAATATCCCTGCCCAAACATTTACTTTCTGTGGATATTGCGTCCTTGTTTCGACAAACCTGTGTTGGTTTTCTTTGTTCCAATATCAATAATTTTGAACATTGGGTTCATTATTTAAGGTAAACGTGCATTCGTCAGTAAAACATATGTTTTTTAAAAATTCCCTATCCGTGTTTGCTCTTTCCATCATATCAAAACAAAACGCCTGCCGCCGTATTTCGTCCCCATCTCGTTGCTCTTGGTGCTTTTCATATTTGAAGGAATAGTATTTATGTCGTTTCAAAATTCGAAACGTTGTAGTGTGATCTATTCCTATTTCATCCTCAAGTTTTCTTGTGCTGATCTTTCCATCGTTCTCTTCCACGCACAATAAAACTTCGGTATCATTAAAAGTCGGTATCATTTCTTGCATCTTCTCTTTGTTCCTGCCTTGTTTCAGATCTGCAGTTATTTATTAGAGTACCTTTGGTCTCAAATCTCTGGATATTCCTTGGGATTGTAGATTTTCCAGGTGTCGGTCTATTCGGATACAGAGCAGCAAACATGTCCGACACCTTTTGATAACTATTTCCTTGATAATACCATTTAATCATCAATACTTTTTCTTTGGTAGTGTATTTCATGACTAATATTTTCTATGTAGGTATGAGTTTTTAATAATAATAATAAAGCACTAAATAGATATATTCATAGGATATATTTCTGAAATGACAACTTCATTTGACAGTTATCTTTTACCTTGACTGGTGCTGATAAGTAAATACAGGGCCATAAGAAAGGAGAAATATTTAAAAAGAAATCGGCGATAACTCGTAAACGGGCTAATCAAAAATATCTAGAGTTATTCTTTTGAATGTGGGTTTTAGTGCTCTTCATTAAACCTAAATAGAATTATTCTCTAAAATAATTTAGGGAAGTCAATAATTGACCCCATTAAAATTTACATGGGATTTCCTATGTCCCGTTCGACGATGTAAGACCTGGTATATGATATAAACATTCTAGAGATTGTCTAGACTGTCCACATCACAACAACTGGAAATAGTAGAGGAATTTATATATTTGGGACAACTAATACACAGCTCGGGATCTCTACTACCAGAAATCAACAGAAAGATTAAGTTAGCATGGAGTACTTATGGAAGAAACTTAATAATACTTATGCAAATCTAGAATGCCACTCTATATAAAGAAGAAAACATTCGACCAATGTGTACTACCAGCCATGACCTATGCATGCAAAACCTGGACACTTAAAACGGACATCATAAGGAAACTGCAGGTCGCGCAACGCTCAATGTGACGAAATATGCTGGGAATAACCAAGAGAGACCGTAAAAGTACAGAATATATACGACAAAAGACCCAGGCAATAGATCATCCATAGACTCAAATCATTCAAATGGCAATGGGCAGAATACCTGGCAAGAAGAACGGACAACAGATAGGCCACAAAAATTACAGCATGGTACCTACCAGGAATTAAGAGACCTAGGAGAAGACCGAACCTGAGATGGGACCACGATATTGTCGCGACCTAGCTGGGGGTTGTTTGCTAGGGTCGCTATACCAGGTTCTCTCTCTCAATCAAAACAACCATTGAACAAAATGTGCATTTATTTAATATAAAGTTCACAGTATAATACAATTTTGGGGAATGCCAAGACTTAATGGTTTAGTTAACTAAGTACTTACAGGAACATCTTCAGTCTGCGCTGTCTTCTGCTAACGGACTGATGACGCGAATTACTAACTGTATAATACGGCTCACATCGATGGACTAACTTACTCCCCTGTCTTCAGCACACTATCTTATATTTTTCCGCTCGTCCCAATTATCGGCGGGTATGTGCTCAAAAATCTCCTTTGTATATTTCCAGCACCGATATTTAGTACGAGCTAGCCCCGGAACATCACGCTTACATCGACCTGATTTTAATTGTTTAATTAACAATGTTTATTATAAGAACATATTCAGGTCGACGTATACGCGAACGATTCCCTTGAATCTACATCAAATTGGTTTACTAGAATTATATTTTACATGATTTTTCCCAATTTGATGTAGCAAGACCAGCCTATATTTAAGTCTTGACATATCCCCGGGCTTGGGAGCTGGTCCCCAGCGATAAAAAATCATGTGCTATTAAGCTTAATTAAGATTTTCTTGCGACTCATCAAAATCAAAAAAAATATATATATTTTATCATTTACTCTTTAATCCCATTACAAACAAAGGTCTACGCGATACCACCCATTACCCCTAAAAATATGTCTCCTGGCATCCTGGTGCGTTGCGTCCGTTTCAACAATACCATAAGCTTCAAGCTTTAACCCTAGCTCATATCAGTTAAGTAATGCACACGCCAGCACTGCCTTTTCCTTTGTTTGACTGGTTGCCTTCTTATTCCCTTGCCCTCCCTGTTGCAAGTGAAGTTATGCCGGCTGAGGATGAGTGGAATACCCTCCCTGGCAATGTCGAGGAAGATGAAATAGAAAAATGGAATCCTTTCTTTCTCGAAGAAGAGAAATGCAACTCCTCAAATGTACCAATGTTTTGTTTTAACAATGTGGAAGATAAAGATATACCTCCGACACAAGAAGTTACGCATATAAGAAGCAAAAGTATACGTCTATTAGACAACCCTTGTTGGAACCGACAGTTCGATTATTTTGATCGTAAAACAAACGTTCCAAGAGAAGAAACTCGTGATGAATTTAAACCCCAGCATGCCCTTTCTTGCACAACTAGGACACTGGATATGATGACTAAAAGGCCAAACGCCAAGATGGCGAAGGATATCATTATCCACCCTAGCCACCCTCCCTGGACTCGATGCTTATGAGTCATATTTAGAGTTGAAATTAGAATCAAGAAACGCATGAGTGTATAAATGACCTGATAAAGACTATTTAATTAACTTAGTATTTATTTTTTTAACTTTTAGTTGTAAGACTTATTTCTTAGACTTATCTTAGACTGGCAGAAACTAATTTATTTTTGGGTATTTTTAGGTGACATTTATTTCCTAACATTGAGCAAAAATAAGGATAAAAAAAAGGAAGGAAAAAAAATACTTTCAAGGTAAGCTGAGGTAAAGTATACTCAAACCTACTACATTTACAGCTCCTGGGGAAAGATTGTGTAGCTATGTTGGTCTTAAAGAACTGCTCGGATGATATTTTGTTAGTTGATTTGTTGTTATTTTT